GGGGGGGGGGGAGAAAGGAGAAGAAAAAGAAGGGAGAGGGGGAGAACGGTCGACACTGGGAAGGCAAGGCGGATAGGGTATGGCACACGCCACACGCCATCATAATGGAATAATGAGGCAGAGACGATAGCAATCGCGCAGAGGCTCTTTTTCCGCGCAAGACGGCCGTGTATTGAAGCGCCCGTGAGAGCTATACGCGGCTGTGCACGAGCGCAGGAACGTCGTCGGATGAATTGAGCAAATCAGAGCCACATCCGATGAGGTCACATCGAGGCACGGTCGTGCCTCCGAAGACGGCGTGTTCCCGGCTGTCACAAATGAGCGGAGAATAACGACGGAATGTAAGAAACCGTGTTGTTAAGCCGGGAACGCTGTCGAGATATTGTAGATTGAACGACGTCGTACTTGGACCGTCGATTGACCACCGGTTTATACGGTGTTATCGTACACACGTGCGCCGTCCGACAAGCTGCGTTTTGACATCGTTTACATTGATACCGGACGCATCGTAGATATATCGGTCGAGATACCGCTGGAAGCGGTCCTCCGGTAGTGAACAAGAAAAAAAATCCCCGCAGACTTGAGCTACCGGTGTTTCCCGCGAATCTCACGGCGGCGCCTTACTGATTAACAAAGGTGGAGGTATATAGGTCGATCATGTTCACCGCCGCTCCGCGGCCGCTTGAAGTCGCATTAGCTGAAATTCCCCGATACGGTAATGAAGAAAGAACAAGGGCAACGGAGTGGAGAAGATCACAGAGGGAAAAGAAGGAGCTCTGTGGCACGTGACCCCGAAGACCAACGGAGTCAACTCGCTTAAGTAGCCGAGCTCTGCTCTTTGACCCAGCCGACAATTTCGAATTATGTCTCTCGGAGGAAGAGGACGAGAAAGAGAGAGAGAGAGAGAACGGATATGTGCTATAGTAAGAAACGGTCTCCCCTCTCTTCGCGGCCGAAGGTAACATTCATTCGCAACTTCTCTCGTATCTAAGGCGACTAGAATGCTAATCTGGTGTCGCTCGTGGCTTCGCCGTAATTAGTCAGGATGAGGTAGTCCGGCGCGAGAGGCCGCGCGCGCGCGCTTTATCTACAGGCCGTTGAATGGGAGCAGTGCGCTAAAAAGCCGAGCGATGATCTTAAACGGGGCATCATCGGCTTGAATTATTCGTCGTCGGACTGGACGAATTCTCGTTCCTTTCTCGCACGTTTCTCCCTTTCTCCGCTTCTTCTTTACACCCGCGACGAATCCGCATCTCGTCGGTCGGTCGCCCCATTGATCGGCGTATGCATGTCTCATTCGGAGGAAATAACGAATTCGGTTGCGGCGCGAAGACGACCCCTCCTCCCGTTCTTTCTTTTAGATCGGAGAAAGAAATCCTGAATGCGTTTACGATATTAATTTCTATTGGCATGTTAATTATCCTTACAATGCGGTCGCTTCGTTATATCAGGGTTACCCCGTGAGTAATGTCGTCTCTTCTTCAGTACATTGAACAAACATTACCGCCTCGTCATCACGCGGACGTGATTTATTATTCTACCTAATCTGTGTACCAATTAAATTTATCGAGCACCTGGTGTGTGAAATTTCGAAAGAGTAACTAAAGCGTTGAGTAAAATAAAGTTTCGCACGAGTGTCAAAAAGCGACGTTATATTTCGTTATACCGCGGCGCAACTTGCGCAATGGTATTACATCCGCTTTGCCAGGCTCTCTCTCTCTCTCTCTTCGCAAGATACGACGACGACAACGACGATTCCGCGGAATGATATCGAGCAGGCCCCCGTGAAAATGACGGTCGGGCGGAGCGGAGAATCGCTGGAGCCTCTACGGCACGCATAGTTGTAGTTTGCTCAGGAAGACAAATGATCCACTCCGACAGCGAGACAGCGAGTACGGCGAGAGAGGCGTTGGCCACGAAGAAGCGCCTCTTGCGCTACGAAGTGTGCCCCGCGGCAGGCCGACTCATTCGCTTGATCTCGTGCCATTATGATATTAATGTAATGCCGCTAAAAAGGTGTGTTTGCACGAGGGCAAGGGTGGGGGGAGGAGGGGGAGAGAGGGGAAAGACCGTGGTGGATGGTGGAGCCCACGTAAAATAGTCTTACCTGATATGGCGCGCGCGGGGCCCTGTGTGCCGCCGCCATAATGATCTTTGTCATCGTGCTTGTTTCCGTTGTAGTCGCTGTTATCGTCATCGTCGTCATCGAAACGTTGGCGGCTGCTGCTGTTGTCATCGTCGTCCACCGTCATCGACGTCGTCAGCTGGTCCTCGTCAGTGCTGTCCCGTGCATCGGCGGTAGCACACCTTCGACGATGCATACCTTTGACAACGTCATCGTCATCGGAGGGTCTCCGGGGGTCTTTCTCTCTCTCGAGCGTTCCCTATCCCTTACCTTCCGTACTTCCCCTCCGTTCGATCCTCTCCGGCTCGAGAGTTCCTATGTACGGTAACTAACGAGAACGGCGGTGACGCGCGCGCGCACCCGTTCGCTTATTTCGTCATCGTCGTCCTCGTCGGTCGATCGACCAGCGCGAACCAGCTCCGAAGTGGCGGGACATACACTGTTGGATACATCGCCACCACCCGAGAAGAAATCGGTTCGAAGGCGAGGCTAACGACCTTTGAACCCTTTGTCGAACGGCAGTTCCGCGGGCTAGCCTCCGACGCGCGCGCGCCGGTCCATTCAAGTTTCCCCGGTGCCGCGGCGCGCGCGCGCCGCTTCGCGGCCACGGCCGATCGCGAGCCGTTTCGTTGCTTCTTTTTCCTCTTTTTTTCTTTTTTTTGGAGCCAACGTTTTCCCGACGCGCGCCGCAGCACTCCGCCGCGCGCGCGTTGTGTCACCGATCAATTAGATATCTTCCGGCACGGCGCGTGCAAAAGCGAGAAAGGAAAGATAAAGGAGATAAACTCCGGGACCGAAGAAACCGGAGGAGTGTAATTCGCGGGGATAAAGAGAGTAAGAGAGAGAGAGAGAGAGAGGGGCGAGAGAGAAAAGGGGACACGTTCGAAGAGAGAGAAAGAGAAAAAAGAGAGGGGGGAAAAAGAGAGAAGATACACACATACGCTCTCTCTCTATCTCCCTCTCTTCTTCTTCTCTCTCTCTCTCTCTCCGTCTCCCTTTTTCTCTCTTTCTCACACGGGGGTGCGCCCACGCCGGTGACGTCACCCGGCGAACGTCGGTTGTGGTACCGACGATGAACGCGTTGGTGTTCAAACGTTCGGGACACTGAGAAAGAGGAAAGATTGACGAGACAGAGACGCTATCGCGCCTCGAGGAAGGGAGCGTGTGGAGCCGGTCGGCCGGTGGACCGATGGGAGGGATAGCCGGATGGAGAGAGGACACTGCGAGATGTACCGCGAGTTTGGAACGGGGAACGGCTGAACTGTCTGAAGGTACGCGAGAGGAGAGAGAGAGAGAGAAGGCCTTCTTCGCGCACCGGGGAGGAGGGAGGGGACGGCGGCGGGGCGGGTGGGGCAAGGAATGAATGGAGATTGCAGACCACGCGGGAGAGACGAATGGCCCGGAACCCGCGGAGGAAACGGGGGCGAGACAAGGGCGAGAAGAAACCGAGCCGAGAGAGGAAGCCCGGCCCGGGAAGCACCGCGAGAGGGGAACACACCGCGTGTGTGCGTGCGTGCGTGCTCGTGCGTGTGTTTCGCATAGATAATCACCGTCAACAGTAGCGCGGCGGAGTAACCCGGCGCGCGCGCGGGGTGATGTCGACGACACGTGACGCCGCTGAATCCCGTCGTCATCGCCGCTCGCGGATCGAACCGCCGCCGCGCGAGGAGCGACGCGCCGGCCACCGCCGATATCAGCTGCCTCCGATCGCGCTCTCCTTACTGCTTCGTCCGTGAGTGCACGCGCGAGAACGCATTCTCCGGATCTCCGCGCGAGGAGAGAGAGAGAGAGCGAAGACAGCGCGAGCGAGCTACGCTTTATTAGTCCGGCGCGCGCGGGACATCGCGGGAACCCCTTCGGTTGTTTCGCGCTCGGCGCGCTTCTTCTTCTTCGCTTCTCGCCTCGGCGCTTCGCTCGCCCGGCATCGCCATTGGCCATCGGATCAACGAGAGGAGACCGACGCACCGTGTGTGCGAAGTGAACGAAGAGCTCTGCGAGAGAAAGAGAGAGAGAGAGCGCGCGATAATAGCAGCCGGCGGCACGCGCGCGACCCGAGGGTTCTTCTTCGGCGAGGAAGAAGCGGAGGAGGGAAGGCAGCGTGTGCCCCGAAGGAGAGCAGCGAGACGAGCGAGGGAGAGACCAAGCGAACGTGTCAAAGAGAGCGGAAGGTCGATGCGCCGAGGAGGAACACGAAGAAGAGAGAAAGAGAGAGAGAGCGGGGTATCCTTCAGGTGATACAGTGCGCGACCGGCACTCGGTGTGCCCCGGCTACGTCGTGTGTTTATACTCGTCTCCGCGCGCTCTCCCGAAAACGAGCCTCTTCTCCTCCTCTTCCCCTCCCGCGAGGGACCGGCGATCCGAGGAGAGGGTGAACGCGCTACATTGACTGTGTGTGACTCCGAGTGAAGGTGACGAGAGGACTTCCTCCCCCGGCCGGCGCGAACGTTCCCCGACGACGGTGTGAATCGTCGCCGTATTCGATCGCATTCATTTCGACGTCGCGAAAGAAGAAGACGAACGGGGATATTCGCACGCCGGCGAGTCGCCGGTGACATGCACGCTCGTCCACCCCCGTCTCGTGGCTCGGCATCGCGCACGGCACGCGGCGGGTTGACGGTGCGCGGTCCTCGCGCTACGTCCCGCTGGATCCCGCGATCGGGCGGCGGTACCGGCGGCGGCGGCGGCGGCACGTGGCTCGACACCGCGACGACGGCCGGCGACGGGACAGGTTGAAAAGATGCTGGCACTCGCGATGCGCCGCGAACACATGACCGGGCGCAGCAATTACGAGCCCGCGAATCCGCTCGCGGGATTCGAGCACCTGCAGCACAACACCGCCGGCAATCCGTTCGCGGTGGTGCCGACCTCCGCCGGTGAGGGGCGAGTGCGCGGCGAGACTAGGGTGCCGGAGGTGGCTGAGACCGGCGAGCTGCAGGAGTTCGTGGACATTGCGCAGGTGCAACAGCTGCTGCAGCAGCAGCAGCATCACCATCAGCAGCAGCAGCCGCATCACCATCATCATCACCATCAGCAAGCGGCGGCGGCCGCTTCTTGCATCTGGGGGGCGGTTTATCCGCCGCCGCCGCCCGCCCTGGGATACCACCATCATCACCACCATCATCACCATCCGCCGCCTCCTCCGCCGCCGTCAGGTAACCCGCTTCTTCTTCAGCCCTCGGGATGCGAACCGACGGCTCGGTGTGTATGTGAAGCTTCTCGTCACGACGGAGCGAGCAAGTGCGCGCGCGAGTCACCGGATGTCGCGAGGACGCTTCTCTCTCTCTCTCTTTTATCGCGCTCGCGATGTCTTTGGTAATATTAGGTTGTTACGAAAGTTCTACCAGTTCCTTTATCACAAATTTGAGCGTCATACCGAAGAGAAACTACTGATAACCACTAATAGAAAATCTACTGTAAAGAAACACATAGGAGAAACTGGCGAAACTTTTGTAACAAACTAACGCAAGATCGCGCAAGATCGTGTCTCCGTTGGTATCCGAAGTATCGCTCCGCGGCTGGTTTCAGCTTTCTCGTGGTTTCGGTCCTGTGAAATTTGTACCGAATGTCTGCAAATGTGAGATCCTCCTCCTCCTCACGTTACTTCTCTTTTCGCGCGCTTGACGGAGTATCATCGAAATTATACGAAACCGCATGACGAACAAATTCGTTTGCTTGTTGTCTCGTTCGAGGAATACGTTTTCTTCGGCGACATAGAAAAGGAATTAATGTAGAAGCACAAGTAGCCAGAAGCATTTACTTCGATTGTATTTGCATATAATTTGTAAACAATAGTATTTTCTCGCTGTGGACACGTATAATTATACATAGTCATATATGGCAGGCTTCATACACGATCTTTCTTTTTCCGGGAAACCTTTAGCTTTTCGGTCTGAACGCTAAATTGCAACGTAATTTCTGGCGAGAAGCGTTTTCAGGATTATCAGACGTCGCCAATGCCTTTGAAGATTCAAGCGTTCCCGAGTCAAAATTTTGTTACACCTTTTGTTAAACCTTTAATTCTACAACATAGTAGGAGATTATTATAGAGACTATTATAGTAAAATCAATTTAATTTCAATTCTAACGATATAATATAACCCTTATTTTGACTCCGATGATGTTTTAAATCTTCGTTTCCGCTACTTCAGTGTTGAAATAGGTTGACGAAGGTAGCGTTAAAATTCAATCTGCAGAATTAAAGATTCAAGAGAGCAGTTAAATAGTATCGATATCGTCAGAGTAGGCTTTTATCGGTCTACGGGCCGTCTAAGTAGGCGCGAAATTATCCTTAAGAGCGTCGGAGTAGCGTCGAAATTTCGATTCGGGTTATCGCGGCCGTCGGTAGCGCGGGAAACGCTTTCTGCCGGAAATTACAACGGGCTAAAGCTTGCTACGCTTATCGCGGACTATCCGGGCTAAGACGACGAACAGAGACCTGTTGCATTGCCCGTTTTTGGGGAAGTTTCGACGCGTCTCGACGCGATTCGGCGCGAGTCTGCGCCCCGCGATGAAGCTCGCCGGCGCCACGACGGGGTAGCGCGCGACGAAAGCGTCGAGAGGTTTCGCTTCATTCATTGCGCCGCCACGCGACCGAGAGGGATGTTGCGTCGTCGCCTTTCGTCTCTTTGAGAACCCTACTTCTCCCCTCACCTCCCCCCCGGCTGCTATTCTCGCGAGCCGGTGAATTTTTCTCACGAGTCTCTGCCGGAGTCTCGGATACGCGATAATTTACGTCGTGGCCGAACGTTGCGCGTCTCCTCTCCCTCTCTCTCTCTCTTGCTCTTTCTCTCTTTCTCTCTCCCTTCCCCTTTCTCTCCGGTATTATTCTCCTCCTCGCGGTTTTCCTATGACGACGTTGCGCAGGACGGGAGTATTCGCGAGAGACGACTTCTACGGCTACCGGTATTAACGGCGGTCCAAACACCTCGCGACTATACGTATGATAATCGATCTTTAAGAGCTTTAAGACCGGCACGTCGAAACCTGTATTTCTAGATTAGCTATTAAGTTCCTTGTCACCACGCGGGAATCGTGGCTTGTGAGAGAGGAGAGGCTATCGTGAAGTCCGCGTGGCCGCGATTGTCACCGCGTATCGAACGCGAAACCCGAGATCACGGCTCGCCCACGTGAATTATTAGGGTGATCTTTTGTCGATCGGAGAGAGAGAGAGAGAGAGAGAGAATTCGATCGGTACTCCTTCTCGTGCGTTTGCGATCGGCGATAACATTCCGTTGATGATTTCAAAGTCGCCGCGCCGACGACGCTAATTATTTCCGCATCGGTTATCCGTCAGTTATCCGGCGTTTCTCATCTTCTACTTTCATCTTTCGTGACTACCGTCTCCTCTTTTCGCCGCAATCACACAGTCGTGACGATGCAGCCGGCCGTACAGTCACAGCCCGAGCCGTCCATTCGACATACCGCTGGATGCGCGCACGCACACACGCGGTATACAGGAATAATCAACTAATCGCAAAAAGCCGAAAAACTGCGCAAGTACTCACACTGTCGTTACTTCCGAGCGGACCTGTAACTTGGCTTACATCGTTCCCGTAACCCATAACAAGGATCCTCCGGGGACGAGTCGCTCGCTGTGACGCTCACGATCCTTAAAGTAGTTGGTCCTGAATTTCCAGAGATATCAAGGGGACCCTTCATAAGTTTATTGTTCACTAGGAAAAATACTTTTCCATAACTTTATTTAACTATCTAATCTTGAACATGCGCGGAAAATTGAGATGAGAACGTGCACGGTAAAAGATCTTGTGTTGAAAACGGTGCACTGAAATTGTTTGTTTTATTTAAACGTACACAGAGAAAAAGGTCTCCTTAGATTTAATATTTCTATTTCTATTTATGTGACTGAAATTTGTTTCATAGAAACAACGTGTACTTATGCGAAATATTATTTGTTTGAGTAAAAGTTTTATTGTCTAATTCAAGGAAACTCTATTATTTAACAGGAAGAACGCTATTACTTGAAATAATATCTTTCGCCCAAGTAAAATATTTGGTTACGATAAATGTATAAAATGAAACGAACAATTTCTCTGTAAGAAAATTATCTTTCATTTCACACACCAACAAATTTTTCATTTAAGACAAAGATACACGCCCGTTGGAAAGTTTAACAATCGTACTTATTAATCGAAACATTAGTTTCTTTGGAGCGTGAAATTTGTTTGGATGCAATGAAATTTCGAATTTTCTGAATTCTACGGACGCGTAGATAGCATTTCCATCGATATATGCGGCTGAAAACGAGGGGATTCCTGAAGAAACGAATTGACGGGCTTAACTACCTTCGGGCCGGTCTTTAACAATCGCCAAGCAGCGATAATTCTCTGACGTAATAATATTGACCGAGGGAATAATAATAATAACAACAATAATAGGTGTAATGAAATGTTAACGACGTAGCTATATCGTACCGAGAGCCAAGAGAGAACGAGAGAGAGCGCTTTTCTCTCTCTCTTTCTCTCTTTATAATTAACCACGTTAAAACAACGATATCCTTAATCGGTAGCCCGGGAGACCGATAATAATAATTTCGCCGTAGGAACGTCGAGAAAGGCGAGTGCCTTGGTGTGTGAAAATATTTGACGAATACTTCTTACCGTGTTTGCATCGATGGCGCGCACAACGAACAGACGTACATACAGACGTACGAACGTTCTTTTCGAGCCTTCTCTCCACGATAATACGCGAAATCCTTTCGGCCCCTTTTCGCTCGTCGTCGAGCGCGCGCTTGATTTTGAAACCGCCGTCGTCAATTAATCCCTGTTAACAGAGTGAGGCCGAAGAGCAACGAGGGGGGAGGCAGGCCGTGCTAACTTGAACGTGTCTGCTGGCTCTGATTTGCGTAATATCGCACGGATGTACGAATCATTGCGAGCCATTGTATATGATGAAATTATAACTCGGCGTCTCTGTGAAAGAAATGCAATAAAATCTCAAAGGCAAATGAGATTTCGCGAGCCCGACGTATCTCGCTCGCGGGACGAGGCGTTTCACGCGCGAATCTCGGATCATCTTGCCGTCGGATAACGCCGGACGTCGCCGTGAAGTGACCGGCGAGACGGTGCGACGAGTTTCAGCGAGCTCGGCGCAGATCGTGTCCCTGCACTGAGATTTCTTCAAGTTTAATCAATTTTATTGCATCCAAACACAAATTTCATCATCGGCATGCTCCGAAAAAAAACTGATGTCTCGATTAACAAGCACGATAGTCCGACTTTTCAACGAAATGTGTATTTTAAATAAGTTTTTCTTTAATTTAACTTAATTTTTTCTTTAATTTTTTTTCCTTATTTTAAATAAAAAGTTTGCTCGAAATGAAAGGTAATTTTCTTACGAGGAAATTATTTGTTTCATTGTTTTACATATTTATTGTGATCAAATAATATTTTATTTGGTTGGAAGATGTTATTTCAAATAATAGCGTTCTTTCTGTTAAATAATCAGCCAGTGACGCACTAACAATGAGCTAGAAAATTTAATCCAGGCTGTACTAGTTACTATATGGAAAAAAATTCATCTTAAATCAAGAATAGACATTCTCATATATAAGCAAGAATATCGTAATCGTTTTAGAAGACTCTTAGTCTTGATTTGATTGAATTTATATTGATGCAAGTATTAGTTAAACTCAAGACTAAAAATCTCTTAAGAAGATCGTAATATTCTTGCCAACATATGAAAATATCTATTCTCGATTTAAGATTAATTTTCTTCCGTGTAGCTTTTGTCTCGGGCTGACTGAATACATTTCTGTTCGGGAAGAAAAAATTCAGAGGATGAACTGAGAACTAAGAAACAAGAAAAGAGTATCCTATCGCCTTTTCTACCGAGGGAAAACCGAAAGAAAGGGTGGCGAAGTGCGAGATTTTGCGAATGTTTTTCGCGAACGCGTAACGACCATACCGGTTAGAGCGGCGATTCGCCGGGTGAGAAAAGCCTTTTTTACACGCGTGAACGGCAAGATCGCGGTACAAGTTTGTACGCGGGGTGTATTGTTTAAAGTGTCGTGGCGTCGTATAGTAACGCAAAAAGAGTAAATAGCCTGACATTTCGTTATTACGGATTCGTACAATAAGACAGGAAATCGTACATCATACACGATCCTGCGGGTGGGTGGGTAAAAGGGTACGAG